CGGGGAGTTTTGGGCGGCCATCCCCGTCACCCGCCACCGGTATGCTTTTGGGACGAGTAGCTGGGTCTCCCCGCCTGCCGTCCCCGGGACCCGGTACAGCCGGTCCCCTTGGATCTCGAAGTGGGGTCCCTGTTCGCTTTGCTGTTGGGTCCCCTCGTCCTCCACCCGGGGCTCTAACGCGTTTTCCCAGGCGTGCTGTAATGACGGGTCCTCCCGCTGCAAGGCTAAGAAGTCGCCGGTATCGACCTCTAGGGTCATCCGCGCCTCTTCCCCATCTAGCCCTTGTGGGGGCATCGTCTCCTCCTCCTCCTGGGTAGCCCACGCCTCCCGCGTGTCCCTTACGCCGGTAGGGCCCCGTTCGCCTAGCAGCCGCCGCAACCCGGGCCAATCCCGGCCTAGTAACACGGGGTAGGGTAGTCGGTGAGTCACTGCTACTCGTAACTCCCCGCCCTGGCTCCTGTCGTGTAGCCTCACCTGGGCCGTCGGGTACGGCCGGGTGTCCCCGTGTACGCACTTGATCCAAACTTGCGCCCCCGTGTGCCCTGATCTTCCTAACGCGTCTCTCCGCACTAGCGTTTGTCCACACCCTGAGTCTAGAACGGCCTCTACTACCTCCCCGTTCAAGCGTATCCGCCTTATCATGCGGGCCCGGCTTACCTCCTGCCGCGGGCCCTTCCGGGGTCTAGGTTGGCCGTAGGTGCAGTCCATCATGGGGCAGTCCCGGCGGATGTGGCCTTCCTGGCCGCACTGGTAGCACGTCGGTTTTGGTTGGATCTTCTGTGTGTCCTCTGCCCTCTTTCCGACTTCGGCCCGGGGTTCCCCTTTTCCGTGGTCCTCGGTACCACGCCATACCGGGGCCAATCGCCGCTCCGGTCCTCGGACTGGGGGGCTTCCAGCCCTAGACCCCGTGTTGTCCCGCCCTTCCTTCCCTTTGGGGCTAGGGCCTCCCCGACCCACCGGGTTGGTCGTTGTGCCTACCTTGCCAGGTCCTTCCGGCGTCTCGGCTGCCAGGAAGTGCTCCATGAGCGTGACCGCTTCCTCTAGGGTCCCGGGCAGGTGTCGCCGTACCCATTGTTGGCCCTCCGCGGGGAGCACTTGTAGGTACTGCTCGAGTACGACCAGGTCGGCCACCTGAGTTGCGGTCTTGGTGGACGGTTCCAGCCACCGAAACCCGGCTTCCCGGATCCGCTGCGCCACTGCCCGTGGCCGCTCCCCTGTTGCATATCTGGCCGCCCGGAACCTCTGCCTATACGTCTCGGGCGAAATACCAAGTTGGTCGAGAATCGCCTCCTTGACCTTGTAGTAGCACAGCGAGTCCCGGTCGGACAAACTCCGGTAGGCGAGTTGGGCCGGACCGGACAGGTAAGGGGCGAGTATAGTAGCCCAGTGCTCTTGGGGCCAACGGGCTGCCGTGGCCACACGTTCGAAAGTTACCAAGAATGCCTCGGCGTCGTCCTCGGCCCCCAGTTTGGTGAGCCTGATGGGGAGTCGCGCTGGGCCCGCCGCCTCCTCCTCTTCTTCATTGGTGGGTCCGATCAGCCCTGTCCCATCCTTCAGCTCCCTCACCAGCTGCTTCTGCTGCTCTCTAAACTCGGAGGTTAGTTGTCGCAACGCCTCCGTTTGTTGTCTCTGGAGCTGGCGCTGGCTATCCACCAGCCATTCTACAATTTTGTCGGCATCCATGGTGCCGTGTCCTATTCGAGATGGCAGTTAGGATAGAGTGGCCATCCGCCAGTGAAAACGAAAGGCAAAACAAACCACCGCCCTCGCACCCTAGGTTTCAGGGGCGCAAAATCACCCACATTCTCCACCACGTGTCACGGGGCGCGACCCCAGTCCGCCGCCCCCACTGTTTTGTTTACAGTCAGGTAGTGCCCAATGCACCGCTTGCTCGCACACCTCCTTGGCGGAGTGGGGGGTCCGGGCCCGCCCTCACTCCGGACCCCGACCCAGGGCCCTGACACCGAGAGCGTGCCTCTCGGTGGTAGCAGGGGGGTAGTACCCCAAACGCACCTGCTCCCGGGATACACGACCCGCCCTGGGTCCTACTCCACTCCGCCGGCCGCTGCCCCGCTTACCGGGTTGCTCCGCTCTCCGCCTTCCCGTCCGGGGCCGCTCCTCTCGGGGCTCCTCTGCCCGTGGCTCGCCTCTCCTCCTCCTTGCTTCCCCCTTTGCCACTCTCGTCCCAGTCCTTTTCTGCTCCCCTGCACTTCCGGGTTCCCCCCTCCCTCCTCCGTTGTCGCGCCCGTGATGTCACCCGCCACGCTCCCGGGCGCGCCGTGATGACGCGCCACGGCCTCCACGTCCG